TCATCCCCCAAAAGAAATCTCATCCCCAATAACAGTCATTCCCTATTTCTGCTTCCCCTGACCCTTGGCAACTTCTTTTTTTGATAGTTATTTTATTTATTTGAAAGACAGAGTTACAAAGAGAGGGAGAGATAGAGATCATCCATCTGCTGGTTCACTCACCAGATGATTGCAATGCCTGGGGAAGGGCCAGACCAAAGCCAGGAGCTAGGAACTTCTTTGGGGTCTCCCATGTGGGTGCAGGGGACCATCTTCTGCTGTTTTCCCAGGTGCATTAGCAGGAGCTGAATCAGAAGTAGAGCAGCCAGGACCTGAACCAGCACCCATATGAGATGCTGGCATTGCAGGCAGCCACTTAACCGTTATGCCACAGCACCAGTCCCCAGCCTTTGGCAACTCTAATCTGCTTAACTTTCATATGAATGGGGAGTCATGCATGATATGGCCTTTGGTGTCTGCCTCCTTTCAGTTAGCAACAAGTTTTCAAGCTCCATCTTTGCCCTAGCATGTACCAGCACTACGTCCCTTTTTAGGGCCAAGTGATATTCCATTGCATGGATACATTACTCAGTGCTTACCCATTCCTCTGTTGATAGACAGTTAGGTGTTTCTCTGTCTTGGCTGTTGGGAAGAGTGCTGTTATGAACGCTCCTGTGCACATTTTTTGTTTGAACACCTGTTTACTGCTGGGGGAAGTACACACCTAGTAGTGGAATTGTCAGTCCTATGGTAGCTCTATGCCTAACTTTTGAGGAGCTGGCCAGTGTCTTCCCCAGCAGCTTCACTGTCTTACACTCCCACCAGCAGGACATAAGAGCTCCCATTTCTCCGCATCTTTGACAATACTTGGTATTGTCGGTCTTTCTCATTATAGACATCCAGGTGAATGTGCAGTAATGTCTCATTTTGGAAAATATTTATCACATAGATTTTGAACCTGTAAACCACCCCCCCCCCCTTTTTTTTTTTTTTTGAGAGGCAGAGTGGATAGTGAGAGAGAGAGAAAGAAAGGTCTTCCTTTTGCCGTTGGTTCACCCTCCAATGGCCGACACAGCTGGCGCGCTGCGCTGATCCGAAGCCAGGAGCCAGGTGCTTCTCCTGGTCTCCCATGGGGTGCAGGGCCCAAGCACTTGGGCCATCCTCCACTGCCTTCCTGAGCCACAGAAGAGAGCTGGCCTGGCAGAGGGGCAACCAGGAAAGAATCCGGCGCCCCGACCAGGACTAGAACCTGGTGTGCCTGCACCGCTAGGTGGAAGATTAGCCTATTGAGCCACGGCGTCGGCCCTGTAAACCCTTTTTACAAAGTAAAAACCTTCAGACCTTCCAAAGGTAGGCAGATGCGAGAGGAGCCTCACCAGGGGGAACAGGGAAGGAGGTTCAAGCTGCAGTCTCAGAGGCAAGTCCTTCTGGGTGGGACTCAGGCTCCATGCTCTCTAAACTGTGCATCCAAGGTTACTCACCAGAGACGTTCAGTGTAGCAGCCGACTCCGCCCACAATCCCTTGATTGCCTTGGGGACCCCTCACAGCATTCGCCCACATTGCTGGTCCACTGTGAGAAGAAGGAATCCAGGGACTGCTATCTGTGGTTCCAGCTCTGCAGGTGGATTGGGCAGTAAATAGTCCAGGAAGGAAGGGCCTGGCTTCGGGATGGAGCACAGAAGAGGCCATGGAGTCAGTAGGGGGTCTGCTTACCACCTCACTGTAAATAGCTCTGGTGGCACTGATCCTCTGAGCATGGCTGCTGGCGACTCTCAGGTTGCCCTTCCCTCACCACTTCTGTCTGCTTTAGCCTTTGGGGAGCACCAGGTGCTCTGCTGGTTGAGGGGCAGAGTGTTCTGCATTCTCCTGTTGCCTGGGCAGAGAGGAGATACTTCCCAAGTTCTGTTCTGCTGGGCGCAGTGCTGTGGCCACAGCTGTCGGTGGTTTGAGTCATCAGGCACAGATTGTTCCGTTCCCTTGGATTTCAGGGTAGCTTTCTTCTTTCGTTTGATGGCTAATGCTTTAGAAGAAGTGAATTCCTTGTACATCCAGGGGCTTTTGCCTTGCTGCAAAATTAGAGGAAGCCAGGTTTCTCCCCAGGCCTTGCTGATTGAGTGTAAGGCCACAGTGGCTCTTTGGAGAAGGCCCTTCATACTTTCACAGAAGTGGGAATTGAGATCGAGGCACCTTAGGCATTGCCAGGTGGAAAGCACCGATTAGAAGGCCATCCAGGCAGGAGCAGCCCTACAATCAGAGATTGGCAGATCCAGAAACTCCTTAGAGACCATCTGATCCAACTCCTTCATCCATTGAGTGTGTGTGTTTGAACCTGGTGTTATCAGAGTGCAGTGTCAACTGTGTTTGGTTTCATGAACTTCTCCAGCGGGTGGCATTCCCTGAGTTTCAGCCCAAGGCATGGCATGCTAAATGGGCGAGACAGTACGTGGTGGGAAGGTGGCGAGGCGGGGCCTACAGGCAGAGTGGGATCCAGACCTGCTGGCTGGAGGCGCGGTGACTGACCAACAAGTCCCTCCCAGGGGCCACCAGAAAAAGAGTGTTGGAAAGAGTGGGCCTTGAAAGCCAGGATCAGGAGTTTGTCATTCATCTTTACTGGATCAGGGGCCTCCAGCGATTTGGAGCAGGACCAGGCCCCCTTCTCTGTTGCTTCTGCCAGGGCCCTGACCCAAGCCTGACCAGCTGATCCCTTAGGAGTTTTTAGTCACTTGTCCCTTCCCAGCCTTACTTGGCTCAGGCTCCCTACCCTAGGGCTTTCTCAAATGCAGACCTGATTGTGTCCCTCTTCCTTTGAAAGTGCTCCCACAGCTCCCTGTTGCCTGCGGGACAAGAACTTGGCGTAGGTGGCTCTGGCTGGCCTTGCCCCACCTCCTTCTGCAGCCTCAGCTCTTAGCAGTCCCCCTCGTTTCCTGAGCTATTGAATGATCACTGCCTTTGCCCAGGCTTCTGCACCCTCCCACCACTGAACTCCTATTCATCCCTCAAGACCTAGTACAAATGTGACTTCCCCCTGATGCTCCTGAGGCCACCATTGTCCCTTGAATGTGTTTCTGTTTTGAAGCTCACATCACATGGCGATAGTCTACTCCAGAATACTGGCCGTGCTCATTTTTGTGTCTGTTGTGTCATGAGCACTGGTTGGGCCCCATTCCTGTCTGATTCCACGTGATTCTCACAGTAACCGAAGGAGGTGCACTCTATGACAGCCCCTCTTCCAGAGGGGCTGCAGCTCAGAGCAGCGTGGTGACTGCCCAAGGAGTGAAGCTGCAGGTGGCCAGAACTGCATCCTTCAGTCTCCTGTTCCTGGACCTCCACTGAGGCCCTCAGGACACTGGGCATGTAAGGCAGCAGCCAAAGGGGTGGGTACAGCAGGGCCATTATAAGAGCAAGAAGTGGAGGCAGGCTGGGGTGCGGGAAGGGTTGAGGAGATGAGAGACCCTCAGCCCAGCTACCTCTAGACTCCCATTTCCTTTCCGCCTTCTATCCAAGTGGCAGCCTCTGGCTGCCTGGGGACAGGCCTGTGGGACTCTGGGCTGAGCAGGTGGCATGGTGACAAACACCATGGTGACCTGCCTCATCTCGGTGCCTAGAGGAGAGGGGACCTGAGTGAGCACAAGGTGAACACTGTGGCTTTGGAGCAGGATCCTGGAGAGGTGGCTCCCTTTGGGCCCGGGTGACTTCTGCTCTCCCACAAGAGACCCTGCCTACAAGGTCCCATCCCAGCAGGGGAAATGCTGCTTCCACCTCCGTCCCAGATGAATGGCTGGCTCTGGCCTCCCAGGAGACTGTCAGCTGCCTCCAGGTACAAATGCCACCCACTTCCTACCCCTAGGCCGAGGAGGCAGAAAAAAGGGAACTCAAGAGGAGGGAGGCACAGACCTGCCAAGCAAGGTAGTAGCAGGGACAGCCAGGACAAAGGCTTCATTGTCCCAAGGCTACACACAGCTCCAAGGCAAACCTGGCATCTCGCCTGCCTCCCAGGACCTGTCTAGAACTCTCCCTGCACTTTGCTTGCTCCTTGGCAACCTCACCATGTTGGCAGGGAAGAGGGAGGCCCTCTGCAGACAGGAGTCCTGCTGTGCTGGACGTCCTCTGAAAGGCACACCTCTACCTTGCAGTCTCCTCAGACACAGAAGGCAAGGAGGGGGTGATGGTGGGAGAATGCCAGGGAGGCCAGGCTGACGTGGGCTAGAAGCCAGAGCCTGTCAGACCTGCAGCCGTGGGACCTGGGCCCAGTGAAAATGTCAGGGCTGCCTTGCAGGATTGTGGTTTGGTGCAATGGAGCAAGGCACATGAAAGTGTCGAGCGGGGTCATCTGGCCACAGAAGGAGTCAGTCAATGACAGGTGACCCTCGAAGCCCTTGCCCACCCACCCCCAGCTACTCCTGGTCAAGGTTGCCATATGTCCAAAGGCATGAGCCACAGCAGCCATCCTGAGAATATGGAGGAGCAGCAGTTGTCACTGCTGTCCCACACCTCCTGCTCTGGGGCCAGCCCTGTGGTTCCAGGAGGCCCTGCCTGGGTGTTTGGGGCACGGTAGATGGGAAGCATTGCCAAGCTGGGGCGAGCAGCTCAGGTGACAGGCATGGTGTCGACGGCTCCTGCAGCCCGGCACCCGACACCTCCAGGCACACAATGCTGGCTGTGTCCAAGCCCTCCAGGGGAACAGGCCACATTCTGTGTCACAGCCAGGAAACAGGCCATCTGAGTAGTGCTTTTGTCCACGCAGGAGGCAGCCCCGCCACTGGCAGGGGTGAGCAGGCTCCTGCGAGGCCTTGATGTGGGAAGGGGTGGTCCCTGGGCCAAGGACTCCGGCGTCTGAGATCCAGCCCCTTCACCTCTGATGCTGACCTGGTTCAGATGGTAGCCCTGCCATACACCTGGGGTGTGACTTGGGCAACTCCCTTCTCTCCAGATTCCTCACCTACAAAAGGGGATTAATCACAGCACTTCCTTGTAGGGTTATTGGGAGGCGTCACTGGCGTAATGTACGTAACATGCTGGGCATGTCGGGGGCTGGAGAGGAGTGGGGCTGGGTGACGCTTCCTCTCCCTGCATGCGGGAGGTGCAGGGCACAACGTCCTCAGCTGGGTGTCCTGTAACCCAGGCTACTGTCTTTGGTCTCTGCTCTGAGCATGGAGGAGGAGGAAGGTGCTTGGGTCCCTGAAGCTGGCTCGGGATGAGCACGTTGGCAGCGAAGAACCCAGGTGGTCCCTCTCTCTCAGACTCCAGGGTCTCTGAGCTAATGCTCAGTGTGGACCTCCTTCCCACCATAGCCCACACCCAGACCAGAATGGGGCCTCTCCTTCTTAAGCCCCTGTAGGGCTGCTCTGGGAACCCAAGCCCCACCTAGGAAGGAGGCGTAAGGCCCCCCCAGGCAGGGGACAGAGGGCTGAACCCACCTACCCACTTACCTAGAGGGTCAGTGATGGGTCTCCCCAGCCATGGATGGTTCCTACTGGGTCTACCCACCAGAGTACCCAGCAGGAAGTAGAGAGATGCTTCTGTTCTCACCCATCCCAGTCCTCATCTGCTTTGAACCTGGGCCCTAAGTTCCTGGTGGGTGCCGGAAGTCAGCATGCGCGTTTGCAGGGCTGGGTGCAGGGGCCCAGCTGCATGGCCTGCACTGGGGGCAGGCTGCCTAAGCATGTTCCTTGGCACATGTGTGGTGCATCTTGGAATGGCAGGGACATGGTACCTTGGCATGTTCATGCATATCCATATGTCTTTCTACACGTGTGCTGGTATGTTGGTCTGTCTTGTCTCCCCTGTAGACAGGAAGTCCCGAACCACGTGCCAACTGGGAAGGTGAAGGTCGGCGATACCAGCCCAGCCCAATTTGGGGTTCCTGGTCCTACTCCAGGGGTCCTCCAGTCTGCCGCCCCTGCCAAGGAGGGAGGACTGAAGAGCCAGGGGTGGGATCTGAGTGTCAGGGGCTGGGGAAGAAGCAGGCCTGGCTCGTGCGTGGCATAGAAGACTCAGTGCTACACCCGTGGGCAAGAGGCCTGCCACCCGATGCCCTGGGCCCTGGGCAAGGCCTCTGCTCTCCCTGGGGCACAGTCCCTCATCTGAGGACACGGGGTGGTTGGACTGATGATTCGCAGCTGCCCCTGAGGCTCTGACAATTGTGAGTTTGAGACTGGTGGAGGAAGCCTCGCACCAGTCCCATTAAGCTGCTTAGCCAAGGCAGCTGTGGGCAAAGCACGCTCTGTCCCGGGGTGTCCTGCCGAAGGGTGAGAGGAGAAGCCATGCCGGGCAGCGGCCCCAGCGAGAGGATGACATGGCCGGGCCCGGCCCTCCCCGCGGCCCCCACAACCCGCCCTCTCTCCTCAGCCCCCGGGACACCGCCCATCCCGCCCCTCACCCGGACCCGCAGCCTCATGGCCATGTCCCTGCCGGGGAGCAGACGGGCCTCTGCTGGATCCCGCAGGTGAGAGTTTCCCCCTCAGCCAGAACCTTTGCCCTCCGTGGTTGAGAGGAGGGTGGGCATCTGACTCCACCTACCACTGACTTGCAGAGTCTCTGAGCAGATCCTGTCCCATTTCCCATCTTTAAAATGAGCTTGTTCTCACTCCTCCTGGAGTTATTTAAGAGCTCAATGACATGGTAGATAAAAAAGTGCTGAGGGCCTAAGCCACTGGGTTCCCACCAGACTCAGCCTCATCAGTGTTGTTGTTGACCTGAGGCTAATCCTATAGCTGCCCATTCGGGTGCACTTGGCCTTCCTTGATTGGCACCCCCACGGGCCCTCCTCCTTTCCCCACTGCTGTCCACCCCGTTCTTCTCTACCTATGTCTCTATCCATGTAGACATCTCCTCCCCTAGGCTAGGGGAACCCTGAGAGTTGAGGACCCTGGGTGAGGGTAGATGGGACCTCACCCTTGGCTTGCACCCTGCCCAGCCTGCACGCTTATCCCTGGGGAGCCGGGAGGACTGACCTCCTTCTGGCTTTCCATCTTGATTTGCCTTGTCTGTTCTGTCACCCCTGTCTGTGCATCTCCTCCCCTCTGCTTCTGTCCCCGGCGGTGATCCCAAAGCGGGGGCACTTTGGGCCGCAGCGGCCTGGCAGTGTTCGCCCAGTGTCCGCAACTGCCCACCAGCCAGAGTGAGCACCTGCCTCTTCTCCCTGCCTCCAGGCGCACCTCTCCTCCCGTGAGCGTGCGGGATGCCTACGGCACCTCTTCCCTCAGCAGCAGCAGCAACTCGGGCTCCTGCAAGGGCAGCGACAGCAGCCCCACGCCCAGGTAATCAACCCCTGCTCTCCAGGCCTGGCCTGCTGGCTGGGAACCTGAACGTCTCAGGGAGACACTGAGAAACTGGCAGAGGTGGAGCTGGTTCCGAAAGCAAAACCTGTTAACCAGTGCGTGCGGTGTTTGTAAGTTGTGATGCCAGGTAAGGTAGACGGAGACTTGCGGAAAAGTAAGACCAGGTTGGACAGACTCAGGGGTGCTGGGGGCCTGTGAAGACCAGGAAGTCAGAGCTGAGTGTGGCAGTCCCCCAACCTGTTCCCCATCCTTGAGATGCAAGTGGGAGGCAGGGGAGTATGGGGGACAGGCATGGGCTTTGGATTCCCTCACATCCTGTCTCTGAGTCTCCATTGCCTTATCTGTAAAATGGAACTCATAACCTCAAGGCTTCCGTGAGTTGATTCCACACACCACCTATACATTCTAGGTGGCCGATGACCAGTAACTGCCTTTATTAGGGCTTTGGCCTGACTTGAAGGAAATGGTGATTTGAGCCACCATCTGCTGCCTTCCTAGTTGTACTAGCAGGGAGCTGGATCAGAAGTGGAACAGCTGGGACTCAACTGGTATTCATATGGGATGCTGGTGTTGCAGGCAGTGGCTTAACCAGCTGTGCCACAACACCGGCTCCCAGGGGGCCCAGGTTTTAAAGCCAAGACCCAAAGAGGTTTCTCTGAATGGGACAACCAGCAGCCAGGAAGCTGCAGGTGGAAGCCGCTGGACCATCGTCTGCTGTGGAACAGGGCATTCTCCTGCCTCATGGAAGCCTTGGCATCCCTTCCTCATCTGCTCTGGGTGGAAACACCCCCTCCTCTGCACTGGTGGGGCCAAGGTGTGTGCACAGGTACTGCAAGTGCCGCCCTATGCTAGAAAAACTATGCACACAGAGTACCGCTGTGGACACTCCACACATGGACTGGCCTGAGCCACCAACATGAGGCTGAGTGAACATGTGCGTGGGCCTGTGAAGACAGCAGCACGATAATGAGGAAGTACAGGCCCAGGTGTGTGTACAGGTATGGGGTGTGCAGGTACCTACGACTAGGAGCTGATGGACCTAGGTGCCCACACACCCAGGTTGTGGGCATTCATGTGGTACCTGCCTACATGTATGTGAGGACAGGTAAGGGGCAAGTGATCAGAGTGTCTGGAGACAGCTGGACCTGTGTGTAGGCTGCCCCATGCCCAGGCCACACCTGCGCTCAGCTCTGGAAAGTTCCCAGTGAGATGCTTGTCCACCATGCAGACTCAGGGTCTGCACCTCCCACCCCAACCTCCAGCCCACAAACTCATGCTGTGGGCTAGGAGGTAGGAAGCCTGGTTCTGGGTGCACCGCTGGTACCATCTGTGGGGCCTGGGCCAGTGCTAGCATGTCAAGCTGGCGAGCCATGTAGGCCCTGTGTGTGTGCAGACTGCTGTGAGGATTGATAGACAGTGTTGGTGAAGCTCAGGATGGTACCAGGCTCACAGGTGGGCCCTGTGACCTGTCCGCCGCCCCTCACTGGAGGATCCTGAGTTTCCCACCCTGACCTGTATACTTCACACAGCCAGGCTTTGCTGAAACTCACCTTTCAGAGGGCTGGGAGTTCTGCCCACATGGGCCTGTGCAGGAGGCCTAGGTCCAAGCTATGGGGGTGGTGGTCAGGCCCACGTCCCCTTGCTCCTGTGCCTCGCCTGACTGCGGCCTTCCTCCCTGGCCACGGTGTCCCCTTGCAGGCGCTCCATGAAGTACACGCTGTGCAGTGACAACCATGGCATCAAGCCCCCGACCCCAGAGCAGTACCTGACTCCGCTGCAGCAGAAGGAGGTATGCATCCGGCACCTGAAGGCCCGGCTGAAGGACACACAGGACCGCCTCCAGGACCGGTGAGCACGGCTGGGAGCCGATGGCTGTTTCCACACCCTGAACCAGGGCCCTGAGGCACTCAAAGAGGAAGGAGTGGTCGGGGGCTTCCCAGCATCCACTTACTCTCTCCCTTCCCAGCACAAAGGCCGCTTTGAGTTGAGCCCATTTATGGGCAAAGTGCCCCTACCTCTAACCCCAGCTACTCCCATGGACTGCTCTGGGTAGCTGCTTGGGGCCAGGTGGTCAGTGATTCCCCTTAACAGCCTGTCTGTCTGGGCCTCCCACCTGTGTCAGAGCTCTCCTAGCAGCCCCTTTGGGCTATGACTTATGCCCTGGCTCCTGGCACAGGGCTTCTTTCTGGCTTACCTGTTTCTGTTGGAGGAAACTACCCTTAATCCCACCTTTGCTTCCACCCAAGTGAGTTCCAGAAGGCTCCTGTTCCACCAGTTCAAGCCCCAGAAACTTTCCTCCTTACCAACTTCCTGCCCATAGATGATGCAGGGAGCTGAAGCTGCTCTATCCCGACCTCCAGTCTTGGTCTTGGCAGCCTGGTGGCTTTGCTCTTATGGTTGACACTTTGGGGCTGCCCCTGGGCACCTTTTATCTTAGCCATCCTTCCCTGGATAGTGTCTGTCAAACACACAGCCTATCCAGAGCCGGATGCTGGAGCTCAGAGCAGAGAACACACCACTTTCTATTCTTGTCCTGTTAAAATGTATCACAGCTTTGCTAAGATATAAATGACATATCATACAATTCAGCAAGGTACAGTGTTCAACTGGATGGTTCTTGGAGTCATAGAATTGTGCAGTCTTTACCACTGTCATTCCATAATCTTGTTATTTCCCAGAAGAATCCCCATTCCCATCAGCAGGCACTCCCATTCCTCTGCAACCACCAGGTCCCTGGAAACCTCCTCTTGCTGTCTCTGTGAATTTGTCTGTTCTGGAATTCCCTGTAACCGGAACCACACAATTGCATGGCAGTGTTCCTAACCAGAACTTGAGCCATCATCACTGCCTCCCAGAGGGCACATTGTTTGGAAGCTGGAGTCAGGAGCTGGAAGAGGGTATGAATCCCAGGCACTCTGATGTGGTACTCAGGTACTCTAACCAGTGTCTTAACTGCTAGGCCACAGGCTTGGCCCTGAGGTTTGTTGTTGTTGTTGTTTTGGTCTCACCTCCCTCCCTATGCCCTGGACTTGCCTGTGACTAGGGAAGCTGAACGAGTCTGAGTGGGTCAGTGGGTAGCTGAGCCTGCCCATTGTCTGGTTTGCCAAGGGTAGCTCTGTGTCTTTCTTGTTTCTCTCTTCAGCCTTTCCTTTGTGTGGTAGCTACAAAGAAGAAATTTCTATCACCGATGAAAAGATAACCCTGCTGTCCTCACACTTCCCCTTCCACCCATCCACCACTTCTCATCCTTCCACTGAGGGAGGCTGTGAAGCCATCAGCAAGCCCTCCCCAGCCCTCACTCCCCTCCCCAGGGGCCTCCTGTCAAATGTTCCTCCAGGGACGTTTTCACAACCTTCTCTGATGGCCACATCCCATTCTGTAGAGCAGAGGTTTCCTTGTGTGTGAGTATGTGCATAACATTAAGATTGTGTTAGGTTTTAAAGCAGTAGCCCCTGAAACCTGAGAATCTTCCTTGTTGTCTTGATGATTGATTTAAACCTTAAATTAATTTGCGTTTTGGCCTCTGGGGAGTGAGTGCTGGTAGTATCTCCCACTGTCTCTCCTGTGTCACCCCTGGGCTGCACTCCCCACCCATGCTCACTCCACCCCGTAGAAGACAAAGAGGAATAAGGCGCTGAGTTCCTGCTTTTGTCGCTAGCTCTGAGCCCCTGTCCTTGGTGACCTGGTGGCCATGGCAGGGCAGGCAGGCAGTGAGCCTATGCGTGTCATCTGCCTGCAGGGACACTGAGATTGATGACCTGAAGATGCAGCTGTCCCGCATGCAGGAGGACTGGATTGAGGAGGAGTGCCACCGCGTGGAGGCCCAGCTGGCCTTGAAGGAGGCCCGCAAGGAGATCAAGCAGCTCAAGCAGGTCATTGACACCGTCAAAAACAACCTGATTGACAAGGACAAGGGGCTGCAGCAGTATTTCGTGGACATCAACATCCAGAACAAGAAGCTGGAGACGCTGTTGCACAGCCTGGAGGTGGCCCAGAGTGGCACAGCCAAGGAGGACGGCACCGGGGAGTCAGCCGGCGGCTCCCCCGCCCGCTCCCTCACCCGCAGCTCCACCTACACCAAGCTGAGTGACCCAGCCGTCTGTGGTGACCGCCAGCCTGGGGACCCCCCCAGCGCCTCCGCCGAGGATGGAGCAGATAGCGGCTACGCAGCCGCCGATGACTCGCTGAGCCGGACGGATGCCCTGGAGGCCAGCAGCCTGCTGTCGTCGGGGGTGGACTGCGGCCCGGAGGAGACCTCACTGCACGGCTCCTTCAGCCTGGGCCCCCGCTTCCCCGCCAGCAACACCTACGAGAAGCTGCTGTGTGGCATGGAGGCTGGCGTGCAGGCCAGCTGCATGCAGGAGCGTGCCATCCAGACAGACTTCGCACAGTACCAGCCTGACCTGGACACCATCCTGGAGAAAGTGACCCAGGCCCAGGTCTACGGGACAGTCCTCGAGTCAGAGGACAGGCGCCCAGAGCCAGGCCCCCACCCCCCAGGGCCCAGAGACCCTAACTCAGCAGTGGTGGTGACCGTGGGTGATGAGCTCGAGGCCCCGGAGCCCGTCACCTGTGGGCCTACCCCACACCATCCCAGCGCCAACCCCAACCCTGGCCCATCAGTGAGTGTGGTGTGCCCCGTGGAAGAGGAGGAAGAGGCAGCAGCCTCTGCTGAGAAGGAGCCCAAGAGCTACTGGAGCCGCCACTACCTCGTGGATCTGCTGGCTGTGGTGGTGCCAGCCGTGCCCACGGTGGCCTGGCTCTGCCGCTCCCAGCGGCGCCAGGGCCAGCCCATTTACAACATCAGCTCCCTGCTGCGGGGCTGCTGCACCGTGGCCTTGCACTCCATCCGCAGGATCAGCTGCCGCTCGCTGGGCCAGCCGGGTCCCAGCTCTGCAGGCGGTGGCTCCCAGCTCTGAGGGGCCCGTCCCAGGCGGCCTGACCAGTGATTGTATCGTAGAGATGCTCTCCCCCGCCACCCATACCCCCTGGGACATCATCTTATTTATTTAGTTTTTTGTTTGGAACTTTTTTTGGGTTTTTTTTTTTCTCCCCAGGATATTAGTGTCTGGGACTGGTAATAAGGTTTGGGAGAGGTACCCCAAAACATTGACAAAGAGAGAGGCAGGGAGGCACCCTGATTGGGCAAAGTACAGAAAGACAAGGCGGTGAGGGTCCCAGCCTGGCCCCTCTGTCCCCCTGGCCCTGCAGACAGGGCAGACCCAGCTCAGGAAGTCTCTGGCTGTGTGTATCTGGGGGAGGCTGCACTGCCCGTCCAGGCCTCCCCTGCCTGCACCACCCTGGCCTGCACACTGCTCTCTCCATGCTTCTCCCAAGCCTGTCCTCGCCCTCCACCCAGACTTCTGAGCCAGTAGTAACTGCTCAGCTGAGGCAGCCAGGGCCCCAAGGGCAGGTATCTGACCCGAGGACTGAAGATCCAGCCTCCTTAACCTGACCCCGCTGTGGGAGTCAGAAGCACAGTCAAGGCCACGAGCCTAAGGAAAGACCATGTGGGGGCAGGCAGCAGTGCGGGTTTGGTGTCTGCTGATCCCAGGCCTTCCCAGCAGCCGCTCTCCTCTTGGCGCTTCGGACTGTCCTGGATCATCCTTCCTGGGAGATAGCGTAGCCCGACAGTCTGTGCTTGAGCCCCAGCTCCCGTCTGGAGAATTCATCAGCCCAAGAAGAGGACGTAGGGTTCGGGGCTCCTCCGCCTCCCGACACGAGGCCCCTCATCTGCAGTCAGTGAGGGGCTGCACTCAGGAATCCTCAGCTCGATGGAAAAGCCCGAGGCCATGACTGCCCCTGGAGCCCACTCCAAATGTCTCCAGGGGCCTCGGGCCCAACTCCTGCTTTGCACTATTCTCATTGAGACGTGTGGTTCTCACCCATCCCTGGATCTCCGAGGAGGTGGCTGGCTGCTTACTTTCAGGGTGAGGTTTCCTAACTCAGAGACCCCCCCGCCTCTGAGGAAGGGTGGGAATCCCAGCAGGAGAGTCACAAGACGGGAGGATCAAAGCCATGATATTGGTCCAGGCCAAAGCAGGGTACTCTGGGATGTGTTTTCCCAGGGCAGGGGTGTGCCAGGCTGGGCAGGAGCCTGCAGCTTCCCTGCTCACTCTCCAATCCCAGGCAGCCTGAGAAGGTTCGCCGTCTCCCTCCTCCTCCACTGAGACGTCTGAGTCCCCCAGCAAAGCTGCTGACATTTGCTATTTTACAAAACAAAATGGCTTCTCTTCCCCACAGGGGTCACAGCCACCTGCACACCCCACCCCGTCTTCAGAAGTTAGACCCACATTGCGAGGTTGGTGGGACCCCATGTCTCACCTGCCCCCCTGGCCTAGGGGCCACTCTGGTTCTCTGCCAAGGTCTCTTGCCCCTCTCCCTGCTGCCCAGCAGCCATTGCCTGACTGTTGGGCCCTGCCCTCAAGGGGGCACCTGCATGGGCTGGGCGTGAGCAGCCACCCCAGCCATGGGGCACAGGCCCCCTTTGCCATGCCTCGATCGGGGCTCAGACCAACCAGCTTTTGGGGAGCACGAACCCCCTCGCCCCAACCATAACCAAACCCAAATGACTGGGGCCTGGCTGGGGGTACCCCACAGAACACTGCGTTGTGTCATGGAGAGGCAAGGGACAAACCAATCCAAAGCCAAGCCAGGCCTGGCCACGGACCCAGCCCCCCTGGCCATGTGCTCACAGAGACGCATAGCATCTCCTTAGAAATAGCCCAAGCTCTGCTGGGAAAATAAATGTATGAACTATATTTGACAACATAAAGCCTATATATTTTCACCACTGGAATTCAGTCAAGCTTTATGGCCCCCTGCTCCTGTCTGTGTCTTGCTGTGTGTGGCCTTGCCATCGTGTCTGTGTTGGTGGACGTGGGCAGGGCTGGCGCCGTGGACCATTCTGCTCCTGCTTTCCTGCTAGAGAAAGCCCTTGTGAAGGGCTGAGCATCGCTGGGCCTGAGGCCTGCCTGTGTGGGTCATCGGGGGTCCTGACCACTGTGTTGAGGATGCTCTCTTTTAGGGGTTCTGGTGGGGCCTCCTAGGGCCTTTCTCCTTGCGGGTGGAGGAGGCAGCTCACTGCCCATCCCTGGGACAGACTCTGGAGCCACGCTGGCCCAGTGGCCCTGGCCCGGCTCCCACGTGCATGCATGCCTGTGTGTGTGCACTCTGAATCCCGCATCTATGCAAAAGGTGCAGTGCTGTGCTCCAAGTGGTGGGCACACAGCAGCTGCTGGCTCAGGCTCCCAGTCCCAGGGCACAGGGTGTGGGGCTGGGGTGACCAGGCTAGGGTCAGGGTTGGGCTTCCTGTTGAGAGCACTGTCCTCCAATGCTCCCCTCTGCCTTCCTGCTTAATGCTTTATACCTCCTCCTGCTGGTGGGTGGGACCTTGCCCTCCCGCCCATGGCTCCTGGAGCAGAAATCCTTGGAGTCTCCCTCTCCCCAGCTCCTTGCTGATTAAGCCCTGCAGAGCAATATCCCCAGGATCCACTTTCTGGAACTGCTGGTCCCTTGGAATCCAGCAGCCAGAAGCGAGTTCTCCTTAGTTCCAATAGCCCTGGCCAGAGCAGCTCACCTGTCCTGGCTCAGGAAGAAACTGGGAGTTGAACCTGGGCTTCCACATGGGAGAGCTGGCCCTGAGTGGAGGTCAGTACAGATATCCCCCAAGGGAATAATGAGCTTTTCACTGGAACACGCTTCTCCTTCACCACTGACACGGGGGTCTGGCAGCACTTTGTGGGGGAGGGGCACGGGCACAAACCACAGGTTCTGGGACCAAGGCTTTCCAAGGGGCCTGTGCCCAGCAGGCCCACACCTCCCTTGCTGACCTTGGGGACAGTGCACACGGGTCACACTGCACTCTCCCACTGGGCCATCCCCTTGACAGTGAGTCCAGGGGATGTGGGAAGGGGGGAGGTGGGGAGGGGTCATCACTCTCGTCGTCGTCTTTGTCCTTTGTTCAGACAGAGTTGTACCTGCCTCAGACAGCTCTGAATTAAAGCATGAAAACATGGCGAGGCCCTCGGCTATTTCTTTACATCGCGGTGGTTTTCTAAGGAGGCGGGGCTGCGGGGCTGGTGTCTTCCCCAGCACAGGGAAAGCGAGGTGGCAGCCTCTGCCCTGATGCAGGGGGAAGCAGAGAGCCCCTAAGGCCCTGCAAGGCGCGGGGTGCCACTCCCATGGGAAGTCAGGCACAGGGTCTACAGCCCCCTCCCTCCACCCACCCTTGGCGTAAGATGCTGCCGGGCACCGTGAGGACAGCACACTGCCTTCCCCAGCGGCCTCTGAGGTGGGTTCTCATGCCCATTTCCAGATGCAGAAAGCAGCCAGGGCCACTCTGGGGGACCCCCAAAGCTAGTGCTTCCCCTCCCAGCCTTGCTGCCCCACAGTCCTCACAGTCCCCCCAGTTCCAGCCATCCCTGCGCCAAGCCAGCAGGCAGCAAGTGACGGACAGAACCAAATCACCGCTCTTGGGGGCAGCGACGCAGCCTGGGTCAGTTTCAAAGAAAACCAGCCCTGGCTTGTCATGAGACAATGCATTTCTGTGATCTTTGAGAAGAAGATCTTGTTTGAAATCAAATCTTTAATCAGAAGACAGTGAGGATTACGGCTGCGTGCAGACCGTGTGGAAGATCACATAAGGGCAAAGCAACGCTCTCACTGAGAGTTCTCAACACTGTTTTCCTGGTTCAGGCGGAATCTTGAAAAGTGTGCAGCTGGCTGCCTACATGCCCAGCATTTAAACCAGGACCAAGTGCCTCAGCCCAGCCAAGTGTCTCAGACTCCCAGGAGAGCTTTGTGCATAATGGAAGGATCCCTTCCCGAGCTCATGTCCACCCGCCTGGAACGCTGCCCACCCCTACGGTGGCCCCAACCCCAGGCAGAAGCCAGCTGCAATCTGTCTGTCAGCCCAGGGCAGCTGCCCCCACCTGCAGGACGGTGGGCAGGCCCGAGGCCTCGTGGCTTCAGACATCTGGGATGGAGTGGTCCATGGTGCGGTGGAGCAGGGTTGGGGACAACCTGGAGATAGCAAGAGTGACAGTGGGCAAGGCTGCCAGGTCCTCCCCTTGCCCACCCCGCAGAGCCTGTGCACCCACTGTGGGCCTTCACTCCCAGATCTGAGACCAAATCTCCAGCAGCCAACAGCCCCCCTTGGAGGAAGAGAAAGAGGAGGGGAGGGCAGGGCAGGCCCAGCTGGGCCGGGAGGTGCAAGGTGAACTGCAGGCAGGTGGCAGGCTTACCTTTTGACCATGTGCTCATAGATCACAGAGGGGATGATGGTCAGGGTGATGACATTCCCAGCTGTGCCCAAAATCTTTGTGATATCTTTGTCCTGAAAAGGAAACCAGTGAGCAGTCACTCTTGGGAACCAGGAGCCTGGGCAGCTCTGCAGGCCCCTGTGTGGATGCTAGAGGGTGGCACTGACACCTGATGCCAGGCTGCCTCCGACCCTGGCAGGTGAGGTCTTTCTTGAGCAAGACTGTGGGCTCCCACCTCAGGACCCGGGTCAAGTAGGTGGGCCGCTCCCCAGACTCTCCTGAAGGCACGGGGTGCACACATGCTGTGGCCCCAACACACAGCACAGCCACACAAACCTCATTCTCCTTCCCTTTCCATCCCATCTCTCTGGCACCAGGAACACTTGGGTTCTGGCCCAAAGCACAAGGGAGTAACCATCCAGTGGGAGACATCAGGTGCACCTGCCTGCCCTAGGACCCTGCTGTCTGGCCAGCCTGATCCAGCCTGGGGACCCCCTTCCTCTTATGTGTCATTGACAGAAGCCACTCAGATCATGGTGAGAGAACAAGAAATGAAAAGGCACAGCGGGGGAGGGGTTAGCCTAGTGGTTAAGACACCTGCATCCCACAGCCAAGTACCTGAGTTCAAGTCCTGCCTCCAGCTCCTGGCTCCAGCTTCCGGCTAATGCAGACCGTGGGAGGCAGCAGGTGATAGCTCAAGTACTTGGGTCCCTGCCACCCACATGGGAGACCTGGGCTGAGCTCCTAGCTCCTGGCTTCACCTGGCCCAGCCCCGTCACTGTATGCATTTGGGGAGTGAACCTGCAGATGGAAGCATTCTCTCCATCTCCTTCTTTCTCTCCTGTCCCTTTGCCTCTCAAATAAATATATAAATGATTTTTAAAAGATAATTAACAGTTACTGAGCAAGGAGTGCCAGACAGTCCAAACCCTGAGGCTAGGGCCTGGTAGAGCCTCTGGCCCCAACTCCAGCCGAGCGCCCTGCACTTCGCACCTGTGCCATCCAGATATGCTCACCTTAGTTGTTCCAGAACAAAGAAGAAGGTGTGCTAATAAGGACTGGTAATGGCCGCAGGGTGGAAATACCAAACTTTGCAAAGATAAACAATCCCGAGACGCAGAGCTGCAGTGGCCCAAGCAAAGGATGAATCCAGTCCCTAAAAGCAGGCCCTGTGGTGCAGTGGACAAGGTCATGACCACATCCTGGGCCACCAGTGAGAAGGACAGAGCCACAGCTCTGAATGGCTGCTCGGAGAAGAGCTGAGATCACAGAGCTGGAAGCTTTGAAAGGAGCAGGGGTCTCTGTGGTGGGAAAGCTCAAGCTGTTCAGAACCTGTAACCCTGAACAGACGTTTTAACTCTGGTGAGCTTCCTGGGCAGCACCCTGCCCGACCCTGGACGACGGGCCAGGGGGTGGCAGCAGGAGACACCCTGGGCAGGCGTGAGCCACCTGAACAAGTCTCCAAGGCAGTGAGGAGCCTGCCAAGCACACAGAGGCAGACTTGTGCCTGGGTGGCTCGGTGATGGCCCCGGTGGGGAGCAGACGACCAGATGAGAAGACTGAGCCATGCAGGCCCTTCTGCAGAGGGAGCTGTGGCTGCAGGGTGGGAAGGGGCACTCACAGAAATCACAGGCCAAATGAGGAGCCACTCTCGGCTCATGTGGTGCTGGGTTCACAGGTTCGCATGGCTCCTCCCTGCCCGTGGGCCCAGAAGACACTCGGCCTCCAGCCCTGGCCCTACACCCCCTCACCCCCTGCTCCTTCTCACTTTGTAGCGATGCAACACCCCACTCCTGAGATGAGCACCATTTTCTAAAAGACTCCTATGAACAGGGGTATGGAGGCCACCACCAAGGGCCACCAAAGGAAAGGGGTGGCCATGCAGCCCGCGGCCACCTGGGCACACTCATCCTCGCCTTCTTCCCGTGGCACGGCTGGCCGCCCAGGTCAGTACACAGCTGCTGTCTATTGAGTGCTTCCTATGCACTGGGCACCCTGTTTTGTCTCCTGCTCACGGCAGCCTGAGGGTGTGGAAGCAGCAGCCCTGCGGCGTCGCCTACCTTGAGTCCGATGACATTCTGCCCGTTGATCTCACACACGTAGTGGTTGGTGAGCAGCCCATTGCGGGCTGCGGAACTCCCTTTGATCAAGGAGGTGATCTTGCCCTTCTTGATGAAGAAGCCCACATGGCCTGCGCTGTCCTTGTGCATGGTCACAGTCCGCTGGAATGGCCTGGCGGGGGATACATGGTGAGCTGGGCCTGGCTGGGGACACAGCTTGGGTCACAATGAGCGGTCCTCGGGCCTGGCCACTCACCTGTCACGAACAACCATGACGATCTTCTCGGCTAACGCCTTCTTCAGCACGCGGTGGACTTTGTCTGTGCTCCACCCGCTGCAGTCCTGCCCGTTGATCTGCAGGATCTGGTCCCCAAAGCGCAGCCCCACGAGGGACGCGGGGGTGTTGGCCTGAACCAGCTGCACAAACACCCCCTGGGAGAGGCAGGGTCCCAGAGTCAGTGTCCCTGGTCCCACCTGGGCTCAGAGCACTCCTCCAAGCTGCGGCTTTCCGCCGAGTGCTCCTGGGGCTTACTGGGTACCAGGACCACAGCTCCCCGGCAGGTGCAATGGTCCCCTGCTCCTAGGAGGAATCACTCCCAACTGCACAGCTGGGAGGAGGGGAGTCAGGATTTCACACCTGGCCAGAGGCCACACCCTAACCACTGTGCCACACGGCCTCTCCCAGAGGCACCTGGCTCCCACAGTCTATGGAGGATCGCAGGGAGGGTCACAGGAGGAAGGCGGTCTCCGACGATCACGGCCCATGGAGGGTCTGGTGGAGGGGGTGGAGGGGTGGGGTTCCTGCCTCCAGCCAGCACTGGGGAGCAGCCCTGGGGGCCAGAGTGCCGCCTGCTCTCGGGCTCCGCCGGGCCGCCTACCTTGTCGATGGCGCGCAGCTGCAGCCCAATCTTGTCCTGCTCGTTCTTGCACAGGTGAATCTCCCGCACCCCAGGCTTGATCTCCGCACGCCGGACGCCCAGGTTGTTCCCGGACACGGGTGCCACTACCTGGCCTGCCCAGGAGCCAGAGACGGCTACCTGCAGACAACAGGAGGGCAAAGGGGTTAGCCCGGCCCTCGGGGGCCCCCTACCACCGGGGTCACCACGGATAGGGGTGTGGATGGGGAAAGGAGGTGGAGTGGTCCCGCCCCCGCAGCTCTTTTCCGCAGGAGCCCAGGGGAACGTGGCCTCGTGGGGCCACTAGGGGGCGTCGAAGTCCACATCCAGGGACCGGGATGCAGGAAGGGGACTAATTTCCAAGGGAAATTGGGATCAGGAAAAAAAAGTTTAAAACCACTTAAAATGGAAAATAAATTCACAGCAAATAGGTGCAATTGGGGACAGAAGGACTCAATTTTATTTTTGTTATAAAAAAATTAAGCTAAAAGTATAAAAACTTATCGACCACTTCCCCTTAAGAGGCAGGGCGAGGTGGGGGTGTCCACTCTCCCGACTACTCTTAAATAGCACTGGAAGACCCAGCCCGCGCAGTAAGGAGGAAAAGGGGCAGCGGGCATGCAGACTAGAAAGGGAGAAATAAAACATGACATCGTGGGTGACAAGCCCCTGCCCTCTCAGGTCTTTCTGTCCACGCAGCTGCTCCTGTGTCACAGGCAGCCTGCACTGGGGGACACCAGGCTTGGGCTCTATATCCCATCTGGCAGCCTGAAGCCAGAGGTCAAAGGGCAGGCCCCCACAGGAAACCATGGAAACCCCAGGCTGCTTTTCATGAGGGCTCACAATGGAAAGTGCATTGAGAAACAGAGCCCCAAGAATCCTGGGGGAAAGAGGAGACAGAAACACAGGGACACAGGAGGTCTGCCGGAGTGGCAAGACCAGGAAGACAGGCAGGAGGCGGATACGCACCGTGCTCCCCTCGGCGCTTGGAGACAAGCTCTGCTGGACCTCTTGGCTGGAGAGGGAAAGGCCCATGTAACTATCCAGTTCCGCCAGGTTTGGGTACAAAACTGGTTGGGGAGGGAAGCAAGGAAGCAGAGAGGTGTTACTTGAGGGTGTGGCCACGACCCTTTCTGCCGCACTCCCGTGTGGCCGTGCATTTTTAGAAGAGATGGAGCGTGAGGATGCTGTTTCCTCCCAGGACTGCCACGGGTCCCTGGGAGCACTCATTCCCCAGGGGCACTTGCTGGCGATGTGGCCTCCTCTGAAGATCTGCAGGGCAGGCGTCTGCCTTTGTCCAGGGCTGGCCTGGGACACCAAGTCCATCAGTTACCACCTTGGCATTCAGCTGTGACTGGACATGGGACACCAAGAATAGTGCTGGCGCTGAGGCCTCAGGACATCCACAGTCTGTGGCTGGGAGGGGGCAGGTGTCTGACCCAAGGGTACCCCCACCCCAGAATGTGGGGGAGACAGACCACACTGTGGGAGGGCGAGTGCAGGCCCTGAGTTCAAGTTTGCCACCACAGGACCTGCATCAGGACCACCTGAGCACCTCCTGGGACCTCCCCAGGGTACAGGGCTCCTCTGATCAGAAAGTCCTTGTCCTCACTAGGCCAGCTTTCCCGGTGTCCCCTTAAAGGCTTCTGGTGAGGGTGGAATGCATGCGAGGCCATGTGCATGGGTAGCGAGTGAGAGATGAGCACCTGGAAACCGCCAGAGGAGGGGAGGCCAAGGCCTCGGGCTGCTACCGCCCTGCCCCAGACCAAGGCCTCCCCAGCGCCTCAAAGCCTCTCCCGGTGCCCAGGACCCTCCAGGATCTACAGAGCATTCAGTGGGGGTGGGGCAGGGAGAGTCTTACAGGCTGTGGGGTGCATGAGACTCACCTGGAGACGTGGAGGTGGCTGCCGCCGGGAGCAGCAAGGCAGGCATCCTGGACTGGGCCTGCGGAAGCACGGGCAGTGCGGTCAGCTGCGGGTCCAGGCAATGCATGTGTGGACAGCTTGGGGCGGGGCCTGCGTGCCCTCAGAGCTCACAGAGACTGGCTTCTGCAGATGTGCCCATCCCCGGGAGGGGGTTCTCCTGGGGCCCACACTCCCCAGGTATCACAACCCAGGTAGCAAGGCCCATCTCTGAACCAAGTTCTGAGCTCCAAAGTCTCAAGGTGCCAAACCCTCTCTGGGACCACAGGGCAGTGGGATGGAGGGAGGGAGGGGCTTCCAGGCTGGAGCATGCCAAACCCCATCCACGCACATCCTGTAGCAGATGGCTTACCTGGATGACCTGGTCCACCTTCAGGTCCTCCAGAGATGGATACAGGGCGGACATGGCTGCTCCCTGAGACACCTGCAGAGTCCAGGGCATGAGGAGGGGTGAGGGTGCCAGGCTACACTCAGGCGGGACAAAGACAGCCAAAGGTGTTATTATCCCCGCTTTAGAAAGGAGGGCACTGGGGTTTGAGCCAGTCTGTGTGGTTCCTGAGCCTATGGCCTTCCCTCACAAAATTCCATAGTAAGGGCAGGCACTGTGGCGTAGAGGGTAAAGCCACTGTCTGCAGTGCTGGCATCCCATATGGGCGCCGGTTCAAGTCCCAGCTGCTCCACTTCAGATCCAGCTCTCTGCTATGGCCTGGGAAAGCAGTAGAAGATGGCCCAAGTCCTTAGGCCCCTGCACCCGCGTGGGAGACCCGGAAGAGGCTCCTGGCTCCTGGCTTGAGATTGGCGCAGCTCTGGCCATTATAGCCAATTGGGGAGTGAACCAGCGGATGGAAGATGTCTATCTCTATCTCTCTGCCTCTCCTTCTCTGTGTAACTCTTTCAAATAAATAAATAAATCTTTAAAAGAAACTCCATAGCATCATGATCCTCTGACACTGGGCTGTAGAATCTAGATCCGGGGCCTACCTGGGACAAGCTGGAAGGAAAGGGAGATCACGAACTATATGCTTTCCTGCATGCCCCAAAACTCAGATGCACTAGCGTGGCCTGGCTACTCAAGCCAGCAGGTGTGCAGGGAGAATAATGTGCTGTGCTCCAGGCCTGTTAGGAGTGTACGGGATCGGGATTAACCACTTTGTCTGTCTGCATTTGTAGATGTCACAGCGACCCCACAGTTGCAAACAAATATGTTTAGTCATTGAGTCAAGAGGTCAAATGGGTGGGAGTGCCACAACCCACATCAGAGTGCCTGATTCGTCTTGGCTGCTCTGCTTCCAATCCGGTTCCCTGCTAATGTGCCTGAGAAGGATGATGACCTAAGTATGTGGATCCTTGCCACCCATGTAGGAAACTAGGAGGGAGTTCCTGGCTCCTGGCTTCTGCCTGCTCCAGTCCTGGCTGTTGCCAGCATTTTGAGAGTGAACCAGCAGTTGGCAAGATGTCTCTCCCTCTCTGTCCTGCTCTCTGTCACTCTGCGTTTCAAATAAATTTTTTCTTAAAAGGTGCCAAATATAAACTCCTGGAGCAGTTCAGTTGCATATTGTCTTCCAATAAATCCAAACCCACTGGTAAATTAGATACAAGCGTGATCGGAAGTAATCCAGTGTGAGCGTTTACATATTCTTTTATTATAAATTATTTTCATTTTCTTCATTTCTCCTTTATAAAGACATGACATCCTATTGACATCGATTTTTATTTATTTTTTTACCCAGGAGTCGTCGTCGCCTGTAGCCTCGGGCTGCACCTGCTTGTTCCCTAGATCTCTATTTGCAGTTTTGATAAGTGGCATCGGAGAGAGCCCCGAGGGTCTCCAGGATCTGCCCTCCACTGCTGGCCTCAGACTACCCACGCGTCACACCGCTGCACGACCCCCAAAAGACTCCGCCTACCACACTTTCGCCATTCGAAACGGCGGAAAGCGCCTTCTGCCGGTTGCTATGGGCTACGGCGCCTGCGCAGAACCTCCGCTAGCTGCGCGGTGGAGTCTGGGGCGCATGCGTTTCGCTGCCAGCCTCAGAGCGGTTCCCAAGACATTTTGCGGCCGCGCGGAGCGGAAAATGTCTTCATTCACGCCGCTTGTGGGGCTGGCTGGGTGGGTCGCTAGAGTCTGCCGGGCCTCAGGCTTTCCAGGCGCCCATGGGTGGCGCCGGCAACCACAAAAAGAAATCAGGTAAAGCGGCAGAATAAGGGATGGCAAGGCTAGGTCGGGCTCCCTGTCCCCTTCACCACGTTGGAGGTTACGCGGGTCCAGTCGCGTTCCTAGGGGGCGAGTGGGCCCTGGCTCTCACGCACCTGGCCTCTGAGCGCTATTTACTGCCCTTGAGGGAGCGGGGTGCATTGAGCCGTCCCCTCCTGACCTACAGGCTTCTGTACTGAGGCAGCCGCGGGAGGGACGGAGGCCGAGGCTGTGCGCCGAGCTCCCCCTGCTCGTTGCTGGTACTGAAAAGGAAGCCTCCCTGGCTCTCTGGTTTCGGAAGCTCCTCTAAGGTGTGTTTCCTACCCAGTGTGACGTCACTCTTCTCGTCTCTGGGAACCGGCTTTCTGGCATGGCTTTGACTCCCGACGGAGGGCAGAGCTGAAAATGCCCCGCCTTGCCCCACGCGGATTCACCTTGGCTCCCTGTGACTGAGTGTTTGGGCCCTGCTGCCCACGGAAGGGGACGGCCTGATGGCTTCCCCCAGTGAGACCAGACCCTTTGCCCATTATAAGGCATGCAGGCAGGCGGTCAGGAGAGAGTGCATGCGAAAGGCCACGGCAAACCAGGAAGGAGGACCCTGACTGGGCCTTGCGGGATGGAGGTTCAGGCTGTCGGGAGTGGAGGATGCCAGTCCAGAGATAGGGAGGCCCGTGCCTATCAGGGAGTCCTGATGCCTCCTGCAGGTTATTTAAAGGGAGCCCACAGGTTTTGCCCAGCAGCGCTACCAACCCACAGCAGCCCCGCCAGAGCCACCTCTGGGCTGCACCAGAAATGTGGGAATCCCCCTCAGCTCCTGCCTGTCCCTCCTCTCGAAGCTACATGCAGCTCTTGCCCTGAGGATAAATCCTAGACTTCAACCTGGCAGTCAGATTTCCACACCGTCATTCCTGGCGACGCCTGCGGGCTCACCTCCTCCCTCGTCCAGCTCTGTGATGACATTCATTCCAGACTACCTGCGAGTCCTGCATGCAGCCGGCTAGCGCGTGCCTCCCAGCTGTGCAGGTGCTGTTCCCTCTGACTTGAGTGCCATTCCTGCCTTCTGCCGCCGCCTGGTTCATCCAGTGAACTCTTCTCCCCTCTTCAGTTCTCACCCTCCCCCCAGATCCTCACACACACACACCTGCCCACAGAGGTCGGCAGCCCTCCACACTCCAGACCACAGCGCCTCACATATTTATCTGTTTATCCTGCATTGTGTAAATGTTCATTAAGTACCTACTGTGAGCAGGACCTGTTACATTTCCTGGTTTGGAATTCTCTGTATTTGCCTGTCTCCCGCACTGGTCAGGGATCATCACTCATTTATGAATTGCCAGTGCTAATACAGCAGGCGGCTGGTTAATGTTTCTTCAAGGACTGGAAAAGCAGACAGAGCAGGAAAGAAAGCCTGAAAGTCTCTGGTTTGCGATCAGAGAGTGAAACCTCCCTGCTGCTGGACAGTGCCCCCGGCCCAGAAAGGGAGAGGACATGCCGCCCTGGCGGGGGAGAGTGGAAGGCTGGCCAGCTCCTCGGGAAGAGGGCTCTGGCTCTGCTGCTAAGAATTGCCTTCCGGGAGAGCCCAGCAGGCCCTTCCCTCCCAGAGGAATTTTCCTTCCCACAGCCGCTTCCAGGTCTCCTTCCGGCACTCCTGTACGGATGAGCTCCCACTAAAACAACGGCAAGCGGGTCCCTGGGAGATCACCAGGGCTGAAAAGAAAAGGGCTTTCAGGCCTCAGCTTTGAACTTGGAATGAGAACACTTTGTTCCAAAGAGCTGAAGCTGTGGGACTCCCACCTGTTCCTGTGGACAGCTCATCCATCCTTGGGAAGACAGCGTGTGGGAGGGAAGCGTGGGTTAGAGTGTCAGAGGAATAGCTCCTGCAGGGCCAAATTAGCCCAGGGAGTTGTGAGTTGGAATAGAAAAGGCTGTTGCTAGGCCACGAGCATGCCCCCCCACCCCCACCCCAGAAAAAAGCATCTACTTCACAAATCACATTTCTGAAGCCAGGTCCAGAGGAGGTAGGGTAGGAGCAGGACAAGTTCAGACGGACTGCCTGTGACCTGCAGAGAGGAGCGCAGGCTGGCTCTGGGGCGTCATTTCTGCCTTTAATAAGGGTGGCAGTACTTGCACCATAGTGCTCCACAGATTGATTGTTTAAGAGCTGGTGTATGGGAAGCAGTTAGCACCGTGCCTGGCCCGTAATAGCCATTCAGTTCTCTGTTCTTCCATTCAATACATAACTTCCGAGGGCCTCCGAAGTCCAAGTGCTGTTCTCGGTGCCAGCAATAAGGCAGCGAACAAAGGGAAAATTGCTCCTTGAGAAGTGCCCTTTTCTAGTGGGAGCTGGGTAAATAAGCTTGTGACTGTGGGCTGTGGGGGTGGTGGGAAGTGCTGGGGCAGGGGGAGTGGAGCGGGGTTGGGGAACAAGAAAACCAGAAGAGCCTCATTTCAAGCGAGGGGGGCACATTGAGTAAATGCCTAAAGAGATGGGAAGAGCACCCCAGTCTGAGGGCACAGCCATGCAAAGGCCCTGGGGTGGGAGTGCCAATTGTATTTAGAGAGCATTGGAGCAGGGAGGCTGTGCCAAGGGGGAGTAGAAGTAGTGAGAGGGTCCAGATGCTATAGGGACTGTGGTCATTGCGTGGACTTGCATGTTTACCCAGGTGAGGTGGGAGCCACTGGAGAACTGAGAGCAGCAGTGTTGTGGTCTAGCTGATGTTTGAGACTAGACTAGGGGCAGAGATGGAAGCAGGGAGCCCAGGTGAGAGATAGTGGTAGGTTCTGTTACTAGCTTGGGCCCTGGCCAGCAAACAGCAGGTTCATTTAAGCTCCCTGTTCCTAGCCCCTGCTACGTGGAGGCGGCGTATGGCTCACCATGTCCATCACCTCATGCAGTTCTCCCTACTGGCCCGTTTCCAGTCTCTAGGTGCGAAAACCACTTCTGAGAGAGGGAAAGGCCCTGGCCCGCTTCTCTAGCAGGCTTTTCCTTATAGTGGCAAGGAGACGGTTGATAGAAAAACAGCTTCAGGCAGAGAGGGAAGTAACGAGTGGAGGTCTGGGGTCGCGGAAGCAGCCTCGGCTTTGGGCTTTCCCAGCACCCACTTCAAGGAGCAGAGTGTGGGTCCCACCGCCTTGAGCACAGTCGTAAGGACCTGGGTCCTCATAATGACCATGCAAACAAATCCCCAACCCTAAAGCCCGACCCAGAGCTGAGTGAGGAGAGCACACCCCAGGAGGGGAGAGGCAGGTCTTGCTTACCCAGCTCTGGCCAGCTCTTACCTGCAGTCGGGTGCTGCTGTGTCCTCCAGCCGCTGCCGAAAACTGTGTTCTCCCACGAAGGTGATGGCCCTTGTCCCAGCTGGTTCCTGCTCGAGTAAGGGTGGTACCCGCCTCTTGTGCAGTGACTCACTTGGGCTGGGCTGGGCCCAGCTGAGGCCCTGTGGCTGGGTAAACATGGCAGGTGGCAAGGCCCAAGGAGACCTTTGGCCTTTGTCTAGGCTGAGAGCTGGGGCTGGGGCACCCACAGCTGCCGTTGAGCAGGCTATGAACCAAGACCTCTAGGCCTTTCCCCGAAAAAGCCTGCATCCAGATTAGATAGCTAGTCCTGCTGATCATGGAGAACACAGTTGACCAGATGGATATCCAAGCTCTGTAAAGAATGGCCATACCAAACCACCAGCTATCTGGGCTGGAGCCCACCACAGGAAATAGATGGATCAAAAAGTACCCACAAGTCCTCTTTTGCTTCACTTGAGCACTAAGGTCTTCGCCTCAGTAGGAGCATAAACTTGATGTAGCGCACAGCTTACGGTGGAGCGTGTTTCTGAGCTGTGTCTGTGTCAGCTGCTGCCCACTCGTACAAGAGATGTCAAGAACTTCCCTTCTTACGTGTTCATCTCCCCCTAAAATAAGATGACTTTACCTGCCTGAGTGCTGCGGAAGGGGTCACGCTGTTGGGAATAATTTTTGAGTTATTTATGGTCTCTTCATTTGCTACGAATAAGTTACTCTGGACAACAACAACAACATAGTTTGTAATTATGGCCATAATTCGTAACTGAGCGTTCTCTCCTCTAGAAATCTGTGACCTTGAGGCCTCAGAGCCTTAGACGGCATTGCTTCCCGTTGGGGAAATGTAGGGAACCCAGATGCCCACCCCTGCGGCCCAGCTGGAGAAGTCGTCTGCGGAAGATCATAAGGCTGTGCGCTCTGCGGAGGAAGACGCTCTGAGGAGGCGCTCCTGCCCTGGTGAGAGTGGAACTCTGGCGGTGTGACTGCGCTCACGTTCTGTTTTTGTTGTTTGGAAAGTAAGTGTGGCACTGCGTGAAAGGCGCAGTCTCAGTGGGCGTGGCCTGGCAGCTTTTAGCTTACATTTGTGTATGCCTGTTTCTGGGTAGTGGTTTTGTTTTAGATTAGGAATGCTTAGGATTTTGGTAAGGATGGAGCTGATTCGTGGTTTTAGGAGAGAATTTACATTGGTTGTCTCCTGTAGGGGCACTAGCGAGCTATGTGCTGGGTGAGGGGATTTTAAAATATATTTTTTTTCCCTTGAAAGGCAGAGTTACAAAGAGAGAAAGAGAGAAGTACTCCATCCATTGGTTCAGTCCCCAAATGGTCGCAACAGCTGGGACTGAGCTAGGCTGAAGCCAGGAGCCAAGAATTCTATCCAGGTCTCCTGTGTGGGTGGCAAGGGGCCCAAGCACTTGGGCCATCTTCTACTGCTCTCCCAGGCACGTTAGCCGGGGGCTGGATCAGAAGTGAAGCAGCCAGGACTTGAACAAGTGCCCATATGGGATGCCAGTGTTACAGGCAGGAAATTTTTTTTTAAGTATCTTTTTTGGGTACTTTTCAAATTCTAAAAACTTTAACTGTAGTACTTATTCCCTGAAATAATCATATAAAGGTAGAGTGAAATAGGAAAGGAGGAATCTAGTTTAGATCCTGATCGGTTTGGTTGGTCAAGGGTGCCTGTCACACTTGGTGCCCAGGGAGGGACTGGAAACTCATTTGCTGGGGAGTCCCTTAAGACATGACACAGAGCACCCACTCGGGGTGAGGTGAGTATCATACTGCTCACCAGGCCAGGCAGGCCCACGTCACTGTCCCTGTGATGAGCCTGGCAGAGTTGCAGTAGCCTTGGGCCTCAGCTCTGAGCTCAACTTGCCTGGGACAGCAGCCAAGAGTCCCACATAGGAAGCAACAGGGACAGGTCAAGAAAGGCATCACCCCTGACTGAGCACCTGCTGCCCAAAAAGAATAGAAACACTGTCCCAGCACCCTTCTTCCTCTTTAAAAAAAAAAAAAATTATTTATTTGAGAGGCAGTGTAACAGGGAGACCCAGAGAGAGAGAGAGAGAGAGAGAGAGAGAGAGAGATCGTCCATCCGTTCTTTCCCTGCCCACCCCAATCCCACCCCCAAACAGGGCTTCTGTTTCCATCCCCTGGCCTTACAGCTGTGGCCAGCTCTGACATCTCTTATTCCAGCCACCAAGGAGCCTCTCCCATTGGGTCTGTCCTTGCTCGAACTCTTCAGTGGCTCCCTAAACTCCGGGCCTCTGCGGCCCCCTCCCTTTATTACCTCTTCATCCTCGTCCCCTCAACACCCATCCCTGCCAGGTCAGAAGCCTCCCTTTCCGACCCCGACCCCTGCTTCACACTTGTTTGCGCCATCTCTGCCTGTGCTGCCACTGCTGCTCCCCGAATGCCTGTCCCTGCCCTGCCCCATCCAGCCACATCCACTAAGCTCCTCAGGAGCCTCCCGGGTCCCCCTGCCCCCGTGGCCTCTGCCATCGGTGCCTCTGGGTCAGACTGCTGGTCCAGTATTTGAGAATAATCTTCTTACATTCTTGGGTCCCTTTGGCTACTAGTTGACCCTCAACTCCTTCAGGACAGGGTTAGTCTTGCCAAAATAAAACATGGAAACCATGCTCTGATGAGAGCATTCTTCTGCTCTGGAGGCCAGGATACAGCATACACCCTAACAGCACCCAGGGCAGACCTGAGCAATCAACCACTGCACCCCTTCCTGCTGAGACCAGAGACTGCTCTCATCGCAGTGCTGTGAGCAGCTGCTGTTACCTAGAATTGGCCCAGGGGTGAAATCCCTGTGTCGTCTGTAGTGGGTGTTCTATGGTGGCAGGGGCTTGTCTGGGGTGCTCATCCCTGGGGCCTAGCACCATGCCTGATGCAAGGGAGACGCCCAGTACTTACTGAGTGACTCCTAGAGAAGTCCATCACAGTTATAAACTTAAATGGTGCACCCTTATTTCACAGATGGGCTGGGCAGGCCGTCGACCCGAGTCCCTGATCTGTGACTTGCACAAGTCACCAAACCTCACAGAGCTGCAGCGTGCGCATCTCCCTGCTCCACAGGCTTGGCCTGAGGATTAGATGAATGAGTCATGTGAAGTGCCTGGGACACAGCTGACGTTTGATCAGCGTCCATTTCCTGCTTCCTCATGGCTGCAGGTTACACAAGTCATCTGGGTCAAGTGACAGCGGAGGTGCTAGGACCAGAAGGGAGACTGAGTACTGGGCAGAGAGGGCACTGCTGTGCACTTTGACCCTCTGCACTTAACCTGGAAGGTGCACCAAAACCCAGGCTTCTGTCGCCCCTGCTGCATCCACACTGCTGGGTGCTGAGAACAGGAGGAACGGCATTTATTGAACTTCTTCTGCAGGCTGGTTCCAGGCAGAAGCAGATCTCACCTGGAGTTCACAGCAGCCCCCAGATTCAGGGAGGGAGCACCTCACCCGAGGCCACATAGCCTGAGAGTAATGAACCTGGGCTTTGGCTGTGAACTGGCCTAGCTGCCTGGATCTAGGCGTCTCCCACACTTGGGCAGCTGAATCATAGATTTCCCTATAGAAGCCCACCAGGAAGTCCTAGGTAGACTCAACTTAGGTGGTAAGTGTTTAATCACATGACCATACAAGGCTGTGTGGCGGGCTGAGAAATGGAGTCTCTTGTCTGGTGACATTGGGACCTGTTGGTAAGGAAGCCTGGACATTGGATAAGCATGAAGCAGTCTCCACCAGCCTTGCCATGGTGTACTTAGGGCCCAGGCCAGCCCCTGGCCTTACTGTGTTCCTGAAACAGCCTAAGGACATCTACCTCCAAGAGGCAGCATAGAGGAACCCAGCATGGGAAATCTGGCTTTGAATCCATATTCTGCTTCTGTCCAGGCCTCAGTCTTCCTATCTATGAAATGAGGAGTCCTGACTGACAGGATTCTGGCTGGCTGAAGCTCCATCACAGGTTCTAAGCCAGCCTCCACCAGGATACTGTCAAGTCCTGCCCTCTCTGCGCCTTGGTCCTCACATTTGTCCAGGGAAGAGTTTGGTTTATCTCTGAGGTTTAGCCCACTGTGCCATCTAAGGCCCCACAAAGGGCCAATCCAGTCCCTGCCGGGCCCCAGACCTCACAGGTACCCACTTCGGGCATTTGGTCTCCAGAGATAAAACATCCTCCATGTCAGCTCTAGCCTTTGAGGGATTCGTACTGGTGAAGGTAACGCTGTGGCAACAAACAACCCCAAGGTCTTCATGGTCCCTTCCACAAAGCTTGCTTCTCACATGTCCCACATGCCCATGGAGGGTAGGTGGGGTCTGTAAGTCTGCCCACTCTAGGACCCAGCTGCTGTCTCAAAGGCTCTCAGTAGCCATGGTGGAGGGGAAAAGGTCTCCATCTGGCAAGTGCTCCAGCCTGAGGTGACAGATGTCACTCCTCACACCTCATTAGCCAGGTGACAGCCACCCAGTCACAAGGGGGCAAGGAAGTATCACCCCTGTGCACTGAGAAGGTAGGGAGTTTGAAATATAGATGGCATTATCAACAGCCTCAGGCCTCTGTTCTGGGCTCTGATCCCCACGTTTGCCAGGATAGGGAGAGCAGGTGTGACCTGGGGCTGCACTGATCCCCACAGGGCCCTACCCTGGGGAGGGGGTGGAGGTATAGAAGATACCAGGGGCCAGCATTGTGACACAGTGGGTTAAACTGCCACCTGCAACACTGGCATCCATATGAGTTCAAGTCCTAGTTGCTCCAGTTAGAATCCAAGCTCCCTGTAGGATATGGCCCAAGTAGTTAGGCCTCTGTCACCCACATAGAGACCAAGATAGAGTTCCTGCCTCCAGGCTTTGACCTGGCCCAGCCCTAGTCGTCATTGCGTGCATCTGGGAAGTGAAACTGCAGATAGAATATGTTCTCTCCCTCTCTCTTCTCTGTAATTCTGCTTTT